GAACTCCTACCAGGGGAATTACGAAAACCGTAGTTTCAAACCTGGCCTTCGTGTCTTTCGCGCCAATGCCTACCTTCGTGCACTATTCGCTGTAGAGGCTGTAGATTGGATTCGTATTAGAAAATGAACAAAAAAAAAACGTCAGTTTTACACCTGTCCTTCGTGTCGACGTCGGATTTGGAGCAACCGCCACTGCCAGCCGCTTCATTTCGGCACAAACCTCTCGAGGATCGTGGGCCTGGCCCTCCGACGCGCGATTCCGGCGCGCACTTCACTAGGATCGTGGCCCTGGTCCAAGTGGGAGCGCTGCCGAAGGCCCACCGACGTCCAATTCCGGCACGCCGCTCACGAGGATCGTGTCCTGGCCCACTTGGGAGCGCTGCCGACGGCCCACCGATGAGCAATATCGGCGCACCCCTCACACGGATCGTAGACCTCGCCACATTTGGATCGCCGCCCGACGCTGAAGTTCGGCACACCTCTCACATGGATCGTGGCCCTGGCCCAATGTGGAGCGCTGCCGACGGCCCACCGACGCCCAATGCCAGAACAACCCTCACGAGGATCGTGGCCCTGTGGTCCACTTGAGAGTGGGTTTTCAAAAGGACGTCGTTCTGGTATTATTCGGGAGGGCATTTGGGTGTTATTCGTTTCTGGTTCGTGATGGTTAGGAAGAGGAGGAGGAGGAGGAGGAGGAGGAGGAGGAGGAGGAGGAGGAGGAGGTAGGAGGAGGAGAGGAGGAAGGAGGGAGGAGGAGGGAGGAGGAGGAGAGGAGGAGGAGGAGGAGGAGGGGGGAGGAGGAGGAAGAGGAGGAGGAGGATGAGGAGGAGGTGGGGGACGGGCAGGAGGAAGAGGAGGAGGAGGAGGAGGAAGAAGAGGAGGGGGAGGAGGAGGAGGAGGAGGGGGAGGAGGAGGAGGAGGAAGAGGAAAGCGAGCATGAAAAGAGGAACGCTGTTTTCTCGTTTTCCACAATGGGTTTGCGAAACTCACCTTCGTGTACTATCGGCTCTATAGCCCCTGCATTGTCTTCTTACGAGCGAACGGCGAAATTGTGGGTTTCCGAACCCCTTCTTCGTGTACTATTAGAATCAGTGGGCTTCCGAACCTCATCTTCGTGTACTATTAGCCCTATAGCCCTTGTATTGTTTTCCCATCAGCGAATGGCGAAATTGTGGGTTTCCGAACTCCTGCTTCGTGTACGATTAAACTCCGTTCTATGTTATTATATTTGGTTTTAACTGATTGTGTGGAACCGAACCCGAACCCGAACCCGAACCCTTACCCGTTCATTCTTAGTAGACACGAAGGCGAGGTTTGACCCTAGTAGTAGCAGTAGTAGCAGTAGTAGCAGTAGCAGTAGCAGTAGCAGTAGTAGCAGTAGTAGCAGTAGTAGCAGTAGTAGCAGCAGTGGTAGTAGTAGTAGTAGTAGTAGTAGTAGTAGCAGTAGTAGTAGATGTAGTTGTAATGATACTGAACGCGGCTTTCGTAATATAAGAAGGGGCAAGACATGAAGACGAATACTAAGGCGACCCGGAAAGTAATACGAATAATGCTAACAATAAGGATGTTTACACAATACGTACCGGGCGAATATTTGTATGAACGCTTCGTACCAAAGAACACATCACTGAAGATGCACGATCAGGACTGCCCTCATCTCTGCCGTGCCTCCCAGGAGCCCACTAAAGTGGCGACAATCGAGCAATTCGCAGCCACCCAGGGAACAGGCAGGTCTCGTCCAAGCGTGATTGGCTCCCGACCTCCCAGGAGCCCACGAAAATGGCGACAGTTGCGCCGTTCGCACCCACCCAGGGAGCAGCCAGGTCTCGTCCGGGTGCGCTTGGCCCCCGACTCCGCTGGACCTCCCCGAAGCCCACGAAAGTGGCGACCGTGGCACCGTTCGCGGCCACCCCGGGGACAGCCAGGTCTCGTCCAGGTGCGAGTGGTCTCCGACTCCGATGGACCTCCCAGGAGCCCACGAAAGTGGCGACCATCGCGCCGTTCGCAGCCACCCAACCCAAGGAGCAGCCAGGTCTCGTCTAGGTGCGCATGGTTAGAGGCCTGGAAATAGGCACCAACACCATACAAGGGGTTTCCTCCACAGGGGGAAGATGATCCTAGATTTCGGTGTTGGTGGTAATAGTTCGGCCACCTTGGATCCCAGAATATTACCACCATCACCGAGATCGGGACCTTCTTCCCTCGGTGGAGGTACATCGCCAATATTGGTGTTGGTGTCAACCTCCAGGCCTGCCCCCCGACTCTGCTGGACCTCCGAAGCCCATGAAAGCGGCGACAATCGCGCAGTTCGCAGCCACCCCGGGGAGGAGCCAGGGTTCGTCCGGCTGCGCGTGGCCCCCGACTCCGCTGGACCTCCCCGGAGCCAACGAGAACAGCGACAACTGCGCTGCGCCGCTCGCAGCCACCCCGGGAAGGAGCCAGGTCTCGTCCGGCTGCGCGTGGCCCCCGACTCCGCTGGACCTCCCCGGAGCCAACGAGAACAGCGACAACTGCACTGCGCCGCTCGCAGCCACCCAAGGAGCAGCCAGGTCTCGTCCGGCTGCGCGTGGCCCGCGACTCCGCTGGACCTCCCCGGAGCCAACGAGAACAGCGACAACTGCGCTGCGCCGCTCGCAGCCACCAAGGGAGCTGCGAGGTCTCGGCTGCTCCGCCGCTCCGCGGCGCCGCCGTGCCTCCCAGAAGCCCACGCGCGCGGCGACGGTGGCGACAGTGGCGCAGCTCTTCCGGGAGCAGCGTGGGAGGAAGCAGGAGGAGACGGGGAGGAGGAGGAGGAGTGCGACCCGCGTGCTCTATATATTCGAAACGAGAACCCGACACAGGAGGGTTGCGAACTTCTCGGAGGCTCGAGCGGAGTTCTTGAATCGGCGCTGGACCCCCTCCTGGGCGCGCAGAGCGCGCACAGGGAGCCCAGCGTTAGGTCGGCCGTGTCCCCCTACAGGCGGATCTACAGGCAGTCAAACAGATTCAGCACTTGGAAAATTGTTTTAAAATGGTATCCATACTATTTTTCACTATTCTTGAATTTCCTCCTGTAGAAGGACGTGCCCGACTGAAGCCCAGCGCTGGTCAAGGAATCTGCGAGGATCTTTGACACATCGTGTTTATTCAGTTTTGTGTTCTTCGACAGGGTCCCTCGGCGATGCATCGGCGTAGCCTGCGCGGAGAACGTCGGGCCTCACAACGAGCCGCACCAACGATGCATCGGCGATGCGGCGCATCCTCCGACCCCATCTTTGAGCAGGGACCGACCGTCCGGACATTCCTATAGGGCTACCACGGCATGTTCTCAAAACCCTAAAAAGCTCTAAGAATATAAAACGCTATTCTTCTAACGTAAACCCGATGTGCCCAAAAAAACAGTTCCAGCCAGACATGTTCTGAGAACATTTCGTGCAGACCACAAAATGTTCTTAGAACATTGTGTGGTAAACCTGTAGGCACGCCAGGACGCTTCGCCACTGCTTGAATAGAGTAGCACCTCCCCTGGGGCCCTCGATCGGCGACGCAGGGAAGGGAGGACGGCCAAGGGGGGGCATTACATGTCTTCGCCGGGGAGCCTCGCCGAAGACAAGGACCATTGACGCTGCTCCCCCCTTTGAGCAGGGAGCGACCGTCCCAGCATTCCTATAGGCCTACTACAAGATGTTCTTGGAACCCAGCAATGTTCTAATAACAAAAACAACGAGGTCGGGTCAGAGATGCCGGAGTTCTGTTTCGGAGTCCAAGAGGGCTCCAGATCGGTCCAAGAGGGCCCCGAGAAGCTTTCTAGACGGTCCAAGAGAGGCCCGAGACGGCCAAAGATCGCCCGAAGACGCCCCAGATGGCCCCAAGACAGCCCAAGAGGCCTCCAAGACGCTCCAAGGGCCTTCCAAGAGGCCTCCGAAGAGGGCCCCAAGTTGCCAAAATCGTTGATTTTCATTGGTTTTTTCTATGTTTTTTTGCGTTCTGGCCTTTTCGCTTCCGGACGCTCCAAGAGGGCCCAAGAGGCCTTCAAGACTGCTCCAAGACGGCCCACGAGGCTCCCAAGACGGCCCCGGAGCGGCCCAAGAGCGCCCCCCAGACGGCCCAAGTGCTGCCCAAGGCGGACCAAGAGGCCCCAAGACGGGCCCAAGAGGGGCTCAAGAAGGGAACCGAGAACTGAAAAATCGAGCCCTCCGCCCCAGAAGGCGCCCAGGACCCCGAAAGAGGCCCCAAGAGACTCTCCAAGACACCCCCAAGACGCCCCAATAAGCTCCCGTGAGGCCCCAAGAGGACCAACAACGTCAGGCCCCAGGCCCCAAGAGGACCAACAAATACCGCCAAGAGCCCGCCGAAAGCCCCCCAAGAGACCGTCACGAGAGCTCAGGAGGCCCCCTGGAGGCCTCCCGAGTTCTCCAAGAGGCCTAAAAAGAGGCGCCAAGAGGCCCCAAACGGCCCCACCGAGGCTCCAAGAGGCCACGAACGCGCAAGCAAACGCCTGCGATGGCACAATACGGGCCGGCGGAATGAGCGAAGCGATTAAATGACAAAAACAACGTTCTGAGGACATAAGCCCGATGATATTCAGCAAGACAGCCCCAGCCAGAAATGGTGCAAGACCATGTCGTGCAGACCACAAAAGGCTCTTAGAACATTCTTTGGCGGGCCTGTAGGCGAGCCAGGACGCTTCGCCACTGCTCGACCCCTGGTCTCATAGCCCCTATAGAGGCCTTCTAGATGGGGTCCGAGTAGAGGCCTTCGGCGATGCATCGGCGATGCATCGGCGAAGCACTGGCGATGCACCGTCGACGTGGGCGATGCATCGGCGACGCCAGCGTGGAGAACATCGGGCTCCGCATCGCGCCGCATCGCCGATGCATCGGCGATGCGGCGCGATCCTCCGACCCCATCTACTCCGACCCCATCCAGGAGGCCTAGACCCTTCTGTCGCCTCCGCCTCGAGGCCCCGGCCGGTCGGAAGGCCCGGCGCGTCCTGTGCGACGCGAGCTCGGCGACGCCCGTCACCAGGCGGTCTGGCGGCGCGCGCTCATCGGCGCCTCGCGGGCGGTGTGTGTGTGTGTGTGCGTGTGTGTGTGGTGCGTGTGTGTGTGTGTGTGTGTGTGTGTGTGTGCGTGCGTGCGTGCGTGCGTGCGTGCGTGCGTGCGTGCGTGCGTGCGTGCGTGCGTGCGTGCGTGCGTGCGTGCGTGGGTGTGTGTGTGTGTGTGTGTAAGTGTGTGTGTGTGTGTAAGTGTGTGTGTGTGTTGTGTGTTGTGTTTGTGTGTGTGGCGAACGGAGGGCGGCCGTGAGGCCCTCCCTGATCGGCCAGTGAGCGCTGCTTGCTGGGGGGGCGATGCATGGACGAGTAAAGACACGTGCCACCTTTCGTGCCCCAAAGCTTCGGGGATCGCACAGCAGCGCCGATGCATCGCCGATGCACCAGCGATGGGCGCCGTTGGCGTACAGAAAATCGGGTTCACATCGAGCCGCGTCGGCGAGGCGTCGTCGATGGGGCGCGATCTTCCGACGCCAATCTACTCGCACCCCATCTGAGAGGCCTCGGTAAGATTGCATAAAGAGGGGGGGAGAAGACATGACACGTGCACCTGTCGTGCCCTCCTTGAGCCCCAAGGGGCCCCTTTAGGGCGCCTAAGGTGCACGAAAAGGTGCACCTTTCTGCCGCCCCCTCCTTACCGATGCCCATCATGCAACGCAAAAGGCCATAACCGGGACGTTGGCCGGGGGAAGGATCTGGGAGACTTCCGACTCGAAGTTTGAGGACGCTCGAGATGGCCTGGCAGGAACGTCGGAAAAACGGCGGGACCAGGACAGAGTGAGGGGGCCGAACGGTCATTCTTGATCCCTGGGTGAGTGGCTGAAGCTAAATTCCGCAACGCGGATTCTGCTTGACTGTTGAATTCTCATGCATAACGAACGTGAGCCAGCACGGGCCCCAAATGTTTCTAGCGATCCATGTTGTGCAATCTATGTGTAGCAATATATGCGGTGCAACCTATGTAGTTCAAAAGATGTGGAGCTATATATATATACACATATATATATATGTCGTGCAATCGATGTGGTGCAATATGGATTGTGGAATCGATGTGGTGCAGGTTGTGCAATATTTGTGTTGCAATCGATGCGATGCAATACATGTTGTGCAGTCGATGTGGTGTAATCCCACTAGGCACTTTAGGGCGTAATTGGTTTAGAGAGTGTCCTCTTCCAATCCTCGTCTTCACTTTGGGGTATGATCGTGAGGGCGCGAACACTTCATATTGTGTTTGGAAAGGGGCGGCAAGGGTGCCCGATACTGCATGCTGTGCGCAGGGCGGGCATTCCTGTCAAAAACAATACAACATGCACTTCGAGATAACATCTGGATCATGCGCGGGCACCCCGCGATCACGGTCCATTGTTTTTTTGACTGGGACGGCGGGGGTGCTGGCATACTGCCTGCTGTGTGCAGATCCACCAGACGCTGTGATGGCCACCCCGCCGCGATTGCGCACTGGAGGTGGTGGGGGCCGACACGTTCCACGATGTGTACTGCCACGTGCGCAGGCGCACCTGGCACACTCTGAGTGTGCCCTGAACGTGGCGCACATGTCGCGGCTGGAGCATGTGAGCGTTTGTTTTGTATTCGGCGCTTCGACATTCGGCGGAAGGAGGGGGGGTCTGGCTCCAGACCTCTGCTCAGTGCGACTGTTTGCGACAGGGCGTCCCATGAGGGGAGACTCCGCCTGCTCGAAACGGTCGCCAAACAACAGCCCAGATCTACTCCATTGGGGGGGGAGGGGGTAGTGCGAGGGCCCGCGCCGATCGGCATAACAAGGAATAAAAAAAACGCTCACCAGCGTTACGCACATGGGGTCTGTTTGGGTTCCAATTGGCTGCCCATCGGAGATTACCGCTGAACACGCTGCGGCTAGTTATGTCTTGGGAGGGCGGGTGGGAGTGAGCGAGACGGCTTGCGGGCGGGGAGGGCGCCTTGACCCTCCCCCCCAACCCCCTCCCCCTGGGTTTGGAGGGGCGTTTCGCGAGACGTTGGAGCGTCCGAGATGGCCTCGGCGAGGAAGCCACAATCATTGATTTGAACTCGGTTTTGGACACATGTTGGACTCCAGGGGGGGGGGGCGCTGTTCTGGGAGCTCCCCTGGTTTCTGATAGATCTCCTCCCAAGATGGCCCCAAGATGGCGCCCGAGGCTCCCAAAGGTGCCCCGAGACGACCCCAAGAGGTGCCCAGGAGGCCCCCAAAAGCACCGAGATGCTCCCAAGCGGCTCCCACGAGACCCCCAAGACGCCCCGAGAGGCTCCCCAGAGGCACCCAAGACGACCCAAGAGGCCAACCACTGGCGTAGCCTGGGCGCCACTGGCCCATTTACCCCCCTGGATGGAGATGGAGGAGGAGGAGGAGGAGGAGGAGGAGGAGGAGGAGGAGGAAGATGGGGAGGAGGAGGGGGAGGAGGAAGGAGGAGGGGGAGGAGGAGGAGGAGAGGAGGGGGAGGAGGAGGAGGAGG